TGATTTTATATGTTTCTCACTATTTTATCTGGTTTTTGCAGGTTTTTCATTACATAGTTGTCATTTTTCACTCATTTAAGAATATATCTATAAATTTTTTATATGTGTGTTTTGTGTTTTTTATATGTTAGATTCTAATAAGTTATAGATTCATCATAAAGTGATTGTTTTAGATATTATTTAACTTAAAACCATTATTTTTTGAATTTTTTTTATGTTTTGATGTAGTTTGAACGTTTTTGGAGATGAAAGTTTTTTCAGATCTGAGACAGACATCAGAAGACTTACAGAAGACGTTCAGAAAACTTTCCTGGAAGTCTTCTGGCGTCGCCTTAAGTCTTCTGACGTCGTCTTAAGTCTTCTGACGTCGTTTTAAGTCTTCTGGGGTAGTCTTAAGTCTTCAGACGTAGTGTTAAGTCTTCTAACGTAATTTTAAGTCTTCTGGTGTAGTCTTAAGTCTTCTTGGAAATCTTCTCGCATATCAAGTGGAGTCCAAGATTGTCTTTGTAGAGGAATGATCTATAATGTTTTATTTGTGGTATGTTTTGTGAGTTGTATGTGTACTCTTTAGTTGTGGTTTTGTTTTTGTAAATTTGTAACTATAAACAAATTCTTATCATTAACTTACAATAGATGTTCATCACTTTAAACTTCTAAGAAGTAAAACCAACAAAGACTTGTAAGAAGTAAAACTAGTAAATTTTATTATTATAAACAAGTAAGATATAATGAGTTGGTTAACTTTTCCAATTTAATCTTCATTTTGGCAGAAGACTTTCAGGTAAATATTCTGTTTAGATCATTTTTGCAATTCAAAATTTGCAAAGGAAAACTTTCAGAGAAGTCTTCTCTATAGGAGACTTCTCTAGAAATCTTCCTATGTAAATATTGACTTACTTTTCTAATACAATAATTATGAAAAAATACCTGAGAAGACTTACCTGCAAGTCTTCTTAGATAAATAGGTTAGTTTTGCAATTGACCAATCTGTGTCAGAAATTTGACTTTCTACGGAAGACTTCCAGGTAAGCTTTCCGCCAGAAGACTTACCTAGAAGTCTTCTCAACCTTTACGCTAAGTCTACTGAAGTCTGCGTCAGTTACTTTTGCAATTGATTATATTTGACTTTTGTTGAGAATTATTCAGGTAAGTCTTCTGGCAAAAAAACTTACATGTAAGTCTTCTTTGATTACCTTAGGTTTGACCAGAATCACGGAATAAAATCGGGAAGACTTCCAGGTAAGTCTTCAGGCAGAAGACTTATCTAGAAGACTTCTAGGTAAGTCTTCCGCCCTGTAAACATACCTGGAAGTCTCCCAATTTAAATTAAATGTTTTAAGTTTAAATTTTCAATTGCAAAAATAACCTACATAGACTTCAGTAGACTTAATATAAAGGTTGAGAAGACTTCCAAGTAAGTCCTCCGGCGGAAGTCAAACTTCTGACACAAATTGGTCAATTGCAAAACTAACCTATTATCCGAGAAGACTTCCAGGTAAGTCTTCTCAAACTTTTTTTGCAACAAAGAAACTTCGAAAATTTCCACCACAGTATTTTTTTAAAAACACACAGAAAGTCAATTGCAAAACTAACCTATTCTTGACCAGAAGAGTTCCGTGGAAGTCTTCTAGAATGAGAAGACTTACGGAGACCTACAAAAGTAAGTCTTTTAGCGAAAAAATCTGGAAAAAAAAAACAATTCATACTTTCAAGCCATGAAAGAACTTGCTTAGTTCTCCAAGTACACACAACTTCACTGGAACATCTACTCAATCGTTAATGACCAGAAATCGTGAGTTTGGATAGCTATATGATCCTCAAAAACTTTAGAATAAAAAAACATGAATTTTTTTGGATGAATATAGCTAGAAAGTGAGAGAGATGGGTTTTGGGCATAACTTATGAGAATGAATGAGTAAATTTTGTTTCTAGATGCATTAAGAGCTTCATGTTGGTTGTTCATGGTTGTTGGGTGAATTGATGTTAGTGAAATTTTCGTGATTAATTGATGAAGATAAGGATGAGAGAGTAAAACACTAGGGTGGATGGGACAAATGAAATGTCAAAAAAAAATGTTAGTTTTGTGGTTGACTTGAAGTTTTGAGTCACTTTTGCAACAAGCCATGTATTAATATGTAAAATTCAGAAAATATATATTTTATTCATTTTATTTAATAATGACAGAACTATGTTTATATTCCAAATAAATTTTATATTTTAAAAATAAATTTAACAATTAAAACAATTTCTTTAAAAAATATGTTAATTTTAAAATAAATTAATTTTAGATGTGAAATATTATTATTTTTTATTTTTGGATTTTAAAAGAACTTTCTGATATTATTAAATAAAATAAATAAATTATATAGATATATTTTTTATAAATTACAAATGCAAATCCTCTACTAAAAATTCCATATCAAAACATTAACAAAGAACATTTGCAGAGTATTAACATTTGCTAAATGTTTTTGTAATTACTGTTATAACAAATATTGAGTGGGAAATAAGGAGCATGATGCTAATGCTAATATTCTCCCAATCAAATAATGTATATTAATATTACAATTTATATTTCACCATCAAATAATATAGAAACTATGTGTTTTTCTCCATCAAGTGTAATAATAAAATTTTTAAATTTAGATTATATTTAAAAATAAAATTTTATTAGATTCAAGATTTTATTATTTCATACTAATATTTTAATACAAATATTGATTTAGTTATACATAAAAATAAACATTTGATTTATCTTAAATTATATTTAGGAATATATATATATATATTTTTTAATTATAATCTTAAATAGATTTTCAATTGTTTATTTGTTATAGATATTTTTTTAATTATTATGTATTAACTATTTCCATATTCTAAAATACTGGAAAAAAATTACATTAAATATAATTGTCTTGTTATCTTTTTAGTAAAAATAATTATAGAAATGACATGTGTCAAATCATTTATCAAATACTCTCTCTGTTTCAAAAAAATGCATATTCTAGAAAAAAACTTGTGTTTCAAAAAGATGTTTTATTTTTAGATTTTCAATGCATTTTTATCAAGTAATAATGAAAAATAGTAAATTCAAAAAAAATTAATTGCATTTTTGAAATCTTATTGGTTTAAAAATATGGAAAATATAAAACTACAAAAAAATTATGCATTAATAACTAAGTTTTAATATTTTTCTTAATAAAATGTGAAAAATTTAAAACATGTATTATTTTGAAATAGAGTGAATAGTATCCAAGGGATGTATAAGGGTTTGTTATACCACATAAAAAAAACTAATGCAATTACATAATAACATAAATAAATCCTTTAACAGATTATATCACATCAAAGAATCGTTTGAGTTTTTACTGTCATTATACATCTCACAATCAACAAATATTATTTCATAAATAATAAAAGTATAATATTTGGTTTTTTTTTATAACATTGTTTGATTGGAAGAGTGCAAGATGATACAAAAGGAATAAACATAAGAATTAAGATGAGATGACATTTGACACCAAATAAGAGTGGAAGGGGCCTCACTAAATCTCCTTATTGTTGAGTCTCTAAAGCGAGTAAATGATGTAGCCACACCGGAGCAATACGGGCGATGTACGACTGGTGACGCAGATCACGAGTGACACTTAAAGCAATTGTCTTTGTAGCTTCATTGCGTTCAGGAAGAGCATGATCCAAACTGTATGAATCTAATCTTGCCAGAAGAAAATGAACAAAGCATGTTGGGTCTATCAGAATACCCCGAGTAGTCAAACGTTGCTTAACAGCTAACGCACCAGAAAGAGCATGCCACATAAAATGTTTTATATTTGGTGGAGCTTTGATCTTCCACAAGTCTCTCCGCAACTGTTTTTCAATAGGAGTGAGAGAATGTCCTTGAGGGTGATCAAAGTCCACTAAAACCTCTAACAACTTTACCCACTGTGAGTCGAATATGATCCATTTCGTGTGTAACCCCATGTGATCGAATTTTCAAGTACCAGTGATGGTTTCAGAAGTAGTATCCTTTGAACGTCCTGTGGCGCAAAAGTCTGATGTAACAATTAATATCTCATTGAATCGACCTTTGTATGAGTAAATCTGAAACTTTTAGCGCTAAATTTATGGAGCTATTCTCACGTTACATTGGCAGCCGAGGAACGGTGTCAATAATCCAGTTTTCATCCCAAAAATAAGTATCAGTCCCATTGTCAATATATCGATACAAGTCCTTTTTGAGTAATTCTCTTCCGTGCATGATACTCTTCCATGCATACGACGGACGTGTTCTCATTTCACAGTCAAGAAAATTTTCATTTTTGAAGTATTTGCCTTTAAGAATTGGAGAAACCAAAGAATTAGGATTATTCCAAATTCGCCAAGCTTGTTTCTTGAGTAAAGCCTGATTGAAACGACCAATGTCATGAAATCCAAAACCCCTCCTTGTTCTTTGGGTTTACATAGCGTTTCCCAAGAAACCCATGGTATTTCTCTCTTTTTATCTCCACTACTCCACCAAAACTCAATAATCGCACTCGTAATTCGTTTATAAAGACTTTTTGGTAACCTAAAAATTGTCATTGCATATATTGGGAGAGCTAAAACCACTGATTTTATTAAAACTTTCTTGGCCCCCATTGATAAAATTTTAGAGTACTATCTTTGTAAGCTTCCTTATAATTTTTCGTTAATAAAATTTAATATTTGGTTAGATTTAATGTTTTAGGATTTGGAATATTAATATGTCAATTTGACAAAATATTTTAAATTGATGCTAAAAGGGTTAATTGGATAAATTAGTTTATCTTAACATATATAAATGACATTATATGTTACTAACCAGTAACTTTATTAAAATTAAATATCATAAAATTGTATAAAAAAACCTTTTTTTTGTAGCATTTTAAAAATGCATAATCCAACTTTGTTTTTTGTTTTTGTATTTATTCAATTAAAACAGGGGTAGTTGGGTAAATGAAGAAGCTCTCTTATCTCATTTCAGATCCTCTTTTCTTTTTCTTCGTACCGCCTTTTGCACCCATTCATAACAAAGAAGAAAGACGCAATCTTTTTCTCTGTCTCTTCCATTCTTCAAATCCTTACAGGTTTTCCTTCTCTCCTCTTCTCTCCCTTTCTCATTTATTTGTATCATTCAATCGCAAAAGATTCGATCTTACGATGACATAATCAAGATTTCGATCATAAAAAACCAATCTTTATTCATCTTATTATATGGTTTTGATTCCTTGGAATCGATCTGTAATCTTCTCATACTTAAGTTTGATCCTATCGCTTCTCATCACTCTAACAATCGAGAAACCCGACCCGGAAGCCATGAGAGTCCATCCAATCCCCAGAAGCCTCAACAACAACACCTTGATCCACCATCATCACCATCTTCCGACCCGAGAACCCGGAAAGAATCTTCGTCGTTTACCGCACATCTTCAACCGCGTTCTTGAGCTTCCGTTAAGGTCCGAAGCAGACGTTGCGGTGGAAGAGAGACACGATTGTTTCAGATTCGTGGCGGAGACGGAGGGTGTCTGCGGCGAAGGGGGAGAAATGAGGGCTTACGTGGTTGATATCCATCCGGGTATAACCAAGATCGTTGTGAGGACAAATGGGTTGTCTTTGGGGTTGTCGTTGGACGAATTGGAGCTTGATGTCTGGCGTTTTAGGCTTCCGGAGACGACGAGGCCTGAGCTTGTTACGGTGGTTTGTGTTGATGGGGCTTTGATTGTTACGGTGCCGAAGATGGTTTCAGAAGATGGTGTTGGTGGGTTTGGACAAGGTGTGGGAAGTGGGAGGCTAGTTCTTGTTCAGTAAGATCAAGCAATGTTGTTGCTTTGGAGAAACAAAATACAGTTTGTTGTGTAATGATGATGTCTTTAAAAAGTTTTTCTTTTGAATGTCTGTTAGTTCTTATTTCAAGAAACAAAACCTCTAATCTGCCTCGTTTCTTTCATATTGTTGTTAGCCATCTTTTTGTTGGCAATTTAGTTGAAATAAAAAAGAAAGGTTGAGACTTTGGTTGATCTCACAGTTTGTAAAACCCAGAACAAACTAGTATACAAAAAAATGCATTATTATTCTGTGCAATGTAACCTCCAAGCTGAAGACAATTCAATGTTGTAGACTTTGGGAAACGTATGGCGAGGGAAGATACCAAAACAAAATTGCTGAGAATTAGTTTGTGTGTGTACCAATCACCATGAATGGATAAAAAGAGGTATTGGTACTTTGTGTTTTTACTTTTGCCTCTTGCAGAATGTTTGATTTGCACCAGATTTGGGGACATATGAGAGATGCACAAAGCCACTCTTAACAGGCGCATAAGATCTTTCCACAGTACATGCAACATAAGCATACATAAGATAAAAGATTCCCAAGCGTAAAACAGGTTCCTCGAGTCTGCACCATTTAAACCCACCCACAAAAAGAAAAAAAACCCTAAATAATAATACGACGGGACTGGCTTAACGGTAAGATAGTCAAAAGGCTACACTTGAGGCCAGATTTGTTTTCATTAAAGGAAGACGCCTTTAAGACGAGTGAACTTAGAGAGGATCTCTTCTTCCCGCTTAAGTGCATTATCTTTCTTACATTCCCATTCATGCTTCTTCGAGTTAGCTGACTGAACTTCTTGTACCACTTTAGGAATCGAGTTCGCAACCATCTTCTGTCTGTAGCTAAGATCAACCTTCTCTTTCTCCTTGCTCCCAATGTATCACTTCAGCTCAGCTCTTTTAGCTTGAAGCTGAGCGATTTGGTCATCAATCTGGCGTATTGCCTCAGAGTTTTCATCTACTTCCATCTGTATACTCCCTAGTTTGTGCTTCAGGTCGCTGTACTCGTATTTAAGTGATGCTACTTTAGCTTTGTTTAGCTCTAGTGCAGAGAAGAACCTGTCTGCTTCTATAATGACACTTTTGTTTTCCTGGAAGACTTCACTGAAGGTTGGAATCTCTTCAATAAGCTTCAACCTCACTATCTCTTCAGCAGAAAGGTTTGGATCTTTCCTCAGTTTAGTTGCTAATCCCGCTATCTCTGCAGCATCCTTGGAACCAAACAAAGTGGTGAGATCTTTCTCCAGGAGAGAAGAGATCTTCATTCTAGCTTCAGCCCATTCGTACTCTCTCATTGGAGAGCTTGCACTAACAAGAACAGAGGAAGGCTCTCTCCCAGCTTCTTCTTGACCCTGATGAAGAAGGTTCTCAAGAGAGTTCAGGTAGCTGTCAAACTCTATAGGGTCAACATCGATGGGCTCGTGCGAGACCGCGAGGACACTGTTCATGGGAGAGACATAGATGTGAGGGATGGAAGCATCTTCTTCTTCAAAGTTAGCTCTGCGTTTCTTTCTCCTGCCACTTTTGTTTGGTCCAATAGCCGGTTCACCTTCCTCGTTCAGGTTGTTCAATTCCACAGCGCCACCGTTCTGCTGATTGGAAGGGCGTCTCCCGGATTGCCGAGACGCTTTTGGTTTGGTAGAGGATTGAGTTCCAGTGGCAGGAGTTGCGGCTCCTTTCTTCTTCTTGTTTCCACTAACTCGGGGAGTTGCTTTAGGTTTAGGTTCCACAGTGTCATACGTCGGCATTGGATTCCTCTTCCTCTGGCTGTACCTGGAGTTTACTTCTTTAGCATTCTCTTCATTCGGAGTAGCTTCAGTCTTTACTTCCTTCGGTGTCTCCTCAAAAAGAGACGCAGCATCAACTGCAACAAACAAGCTTTGCTCAAACTGAAACACCAGAGTTGTTAAAACAAAAAAACTTTATTTATAGCAATGTCTTACCTTTGTTTGCAGGCTGGAAGAGAGCAGGGATCTTCCAGCTAAACGATGCGAAGAAAGCATCAGCATCCATGTCAGGGAAATTCGTGTGGATGTAACGGGCAAGAGTGGGTTTGTTTGCGAAAGATTTAGGCACATTCTTCTGTTGAAGCCTTTGAGGGAGAATCAGGAACCTATCTTGGTAAAACCCAGTAGCAGCCAGTCTCCTACCAACTCTCCAAGTTCAAACATCACCGGGGCTTGGCCAATCAACAGGGGCATAAGGAAGACCTTGACCAGTTGAAAACTGTGGGATAGCTGGAAGTTGGTTGAGGTCGGTTTCCCCATGAGTGAAGGAGCTGTTGTCTACGCTTCTCTTTCCATTTTCCTTGGTCTCTTCCCTGTTGAAACCGTTCTCCCAGAAGTCATCCTTCTCTTGCTGAGTGGCGTGGAATGAGTCAGGTTCGTTTTCTCGGTAGGTTGAGAGTGGGACAGGTTCAGTGTCTTGGTAGGTACTGACTGGGACTGGTTCGGTATCAAACCTGTATGTAAATTAACAGGAGAGGAGGAGCTGAAGATAGAAACAAACACATGACTCTAAATCAAGTAGACCTCAGAAAACCACACACCATTTGCCATCTCAATAGCTCCAATGAACATTATGACAAACTATATGATGAGGAACAAAAATGACAAATCGAGTATGGAGACTCTAGACACACACAATCGGTCAACCTTAAAGACACAACCTTTGTTTTATGGCAGCAGTTAGTATACAATAAGAACCCTAACGTTTGCTCAATCCCGAGTTTGACAACATTCTCAAGGACAACATTGTTCAGCAACATAATATAAACATAAAAGAAGAGTTGTCAGAATTGTGATAGATAATTGCTTAAACATTAACAATCTAGGTCTAAAAGAGGGAGACTGGTCCCATTTTGCCGAAATAACTCAGTACCAGATTCTTGTTTGTTCAAGGATCTGGCTCAGAGATTTACGTACAAACATGATAACAAAAAGAAAAAGAAAAAACAGAAAGATAATTATATATACAAGTGGACTGACTATATAAAGAAGAGAAATTACCCAGGAGGAGTTTGACCGATCTGTCGATGCATATCAATCGGAGAATAAAACGGAGCAGACATGTCCACTCTAAACCCTAGTTTCATGCACAAGAGAAACACCCAACCCAGGAGTCAAGCAAAAATGGGAAAATTAAGCGAGTAGAGAAGCATGAAGGTTGTAAAGTTTGAGTGATTGTGAACAAGAAAGAACGAACGTTTTTTAGAAGCAGATCTAAATCTTATATCTCGGTCTCTCTGTCTACGTTTCTTCTGATTTATCTTTTTCACCATGGAGAGAGAGAGATGTGACTGGTTTAGTCTTGGAGCTGAAGTACTGCAACTAATAATCAAGGAAGGAAAATTGACCATTATGCCATTAATGTGGGTTCTGTCCTTTTCCGAGTGTAAAAAAATCTTGCCTTTGATGTCAACTCTTGTATCGCTCTTTCGTCTAGTTTTCAAGTCTTTTTTCTTTTTCTTTTTTTTTTCTTTTTCTTTTCTTTTTCTTTTTTTTGTACGGTTTCTAGTGCCAAGACAGAAGTCTTTCTTTTTTTAAAAAAAAATCTATATTATAATAGTACACTTTCTAGACTCCATAGTGCGCCACGTCAGCAGTTTTGTGAGTCCCATAGATATTTTTAAATACCCATAGTCTTGGTAAGATGATCATAAACAATGAAATACACTTTAGCCAAGTGGTACAAGGACGTCTCATTAAGTATGCAAGATTGTGGGTTCAAACACGCAGCTACCATGTATTTTTGATTTTTTATATGAGTTATTATCATATGGGTTTTTTGTTTATAAGGTTTTTATGTTTTTTTTTTGGGCTTATTGTTTTAAAGATCAAAATAGTTGGATAAACCCTAAATCTTAACAAGTTCAAACCTAAAATAGTTAAAAATGAATCCAAAACGAACAATAAAAATAAAGCAAAAAAAAAACAAGTCTCACGCGATTACCTACGCGAATGACTTAAAGAACCTTAAAACTATCCTATTATAATATAGCTCAACCCAAAAATAATAAAAAATAAATACAAAAACGAACAGACCAAAAAAAAAAAGTGAATTCCACGCGGGTGTCTACGTGGATGGCTTAATGTGGTTTGAATAATATAGATTAGGAGCTCAAAAAGTTAAATCATTGCACATATTTCCTAATATATATTTTCAAAAAATTTGTATGTGAGATAAAATAAAAAAACAACAAAAATTAATTATTTTCCTTATTTATTATATGTAATTTGTCTTACAATTTAATAACTATTATAATTTCATTGAAAACATTCCTCACCACCGATTCCAGACTCCGACGAATGGATTCCCACAGTCAATGACGCCGTAGATAAAAATGCCACATCATTTATGAACAAAACTCAAACTTACAAAAAAACATATATAAAAACCTATCTAATGAAACTTAAACAACGAATATTAACTTAATTACAGTTATTTTCAAATTGATAAATCGTTTAATACAATATAAATACTACAAATATAAAATTATATCAAGTTTTGATCTACGATATAAAAACTATTTACAGCAAACAAAAACACTTATTTTAACACACTAGAAACTAGATTATAGCCTAACTATTCCTATAAACCTTACTTCGCATATAAATAACATTTAGCACATTCCTAATATTTTTCAAAAAAAATTGTATGTGAAATAAAATAAAAGTAAACAACAAAATTTAAGTATTTTTCGTTATTTATTAAATGAATATGTAATTTGTCTTACATTTTAATAACTACTACAACTTCATTGAAAACATTCCTCACCACCGATTCTAGACTCCGACGAATGGATTCCCACAGTCGATGACGCCGTAGATAAAAATGCCACATCATTTATGAACAAAACTCAAACTTACAAAAAACCATATATAAAAACCTATCCAATGAAACTTAAACAACGAATATTAACTTAATTAAGGTTATTTTCAAATTGATAAATCGTTTAATACAAATATAAATACTATAAATATAGAATTATATCAAGTTTTGACATATAATATAAAAACATGAAATTTTTCATTTCATTATTATTTGGTGTCATTAGAAGAATCCACTAAACCAACAATCAGAAAAAATACACATAAACATAATGATTTCAGCCCCGCGCTTGCGCGGGAGTATGCAACTAGTTATAATAATAAAAGGGCACAAAGAAGAAGAAGAAGCAAAGGAAGGGAAGATCCACAGGCTGCAGAAAACAACAATGACGCCACAACATATGGAAAGAAAAAGCAAAAGGGTACTCAAGTTGCGACCATCTTGGTGTGTACCATCGTGCTCATACATTATTTGAACAAGGATCAAGGGGGGATATGGAGTAAAGACGATTTGGAACTCAACATGGGAACCATTGGAAAACTCTTGCGGATGCCATGGGTAATAAACACATGAGGCATGTGATGTGAGAGACGCTTGGAGGAAAATAAAATTAGCTTCCAAGAAGAGTTGGTCGAGGGAAGAGTGAGTACCAAAACTTGTTTGATCTTAGAATCAAAGCATTCCAGGAGAAGCGTTCGCAACATGAGATAACATCCCTTGGACGGCCGTAAGCGACCTGGCTCGGAACAAGGGAACATAACCTCTGCTGCCAAAAATGGTATAATCAGTTGACATCACCAATGGGTTGCAAAGGGGATATGGGCTAACGTAGATGACTATAGGCTCTTGGACGCTGCATGACGTTGATTGGGATAATCGAGATGGAGATGCTTGCAGGAGTCGGTGGAACCAGATGGTGCGTCATATTGATTTGCCTGGAACCAAAACTTTTGCAGAACAAGTTGAGTTTATTTCTCAAAGGTATTGCCCAGAGATAGCTGAAGACCGAGATGATTTCGACAACAGGATGGCCCTATGATCCTGAATATTAATGAAAGGCTGAATATCCAATAAGGACAAATGCTACCATACTGACTAGTAGTCTCTCTTTAGACTTTTAGAGGTATCTTATCACTGGTAGGAGTTACAGGTAGATGTTGTCATCGTTTGGAGCTTTTGTTGCACAGTGACAAGAGTGAGGTAACCTTTTTTAATACAGTGAAAGGATAATCAAAACCATCTTAAAAGATGCAGGAAACACAAAAGAAACCACAGTGAGGCTGTAACATAAACTTGGATTCATATATTCTATAATGTCTCACTAATCGCATCTTGTTATCTGCCAAATTTTCATATTTAATTAGATCTTATTACATTATACAAAAGGCACAATCAAATTGTCCCCCAAAACTAGTCCATTCTTTCGCTTAATGACTCCCACGCAAACAAATCTCTTCACGGAGTATCATCAATTGTTCAGCTACCTAACCAATCACACGATCACAAATACAAGTAAATAATCACATTTTAAATATAACAAAATGAAATTAGGTACCTCTTCAGTGCTGCCATCTTCCATCTCTGTGCTGAAAGAAAGAAGTAAGCTTTCATGTAGAAAACTCTCAATCTCATCCACCGTAATCACTGCTCATTAACATAACGTTGTTAACAATACCTACAACATCTGAAGAATAACCGAAAGAGAAAAAAAGGAACCATTTGTTTGAGACAAGAGATGAAAAAGATCGTGAGCCAGGTCTTGAGATTTCTCGAGAGAATCGTTGCCTCCCCACTTATTCTTCACGGCCATCTGAAGCCCGCCCCACCTCGAAAGAAGCTCTCCGATGCCTCTCCGGAGATCAGAGTCGTCGTCGGCCATAGGACGCACGTGTTTGTGAGGATACGTGGTGGCCAAGAGCACGTGAGCGTTGAACGTTTTTCCACCGGTTCCCATATCTTTGGCCGGAGAACCGAAAAGGGTTTCTTTCTTGGCCAAACACAAAAGGTTCTTCCGCCTTGTTGCTCCGTTAAACCAAACGGAGAACAGATGCCGGAAGATTTTGCGTATGGGAACACAAAGAGAAGGAAAATAGAAACGTTTATTGAAACGTTGTGTTGTTTGTATGCTCTGTTTTCCTAAAATGGAAAAGATCAAAAAAAAAAGAAGAAGAGAGATCCGGCAAGCTAGGGACAGCTGTTTGAGTTTGCCAGACCGACAAAGATTTGTTAGTTGACTTCAGTTCAGACATATTCAGTCCTAACCTTTTCTTGTTGTGATATTTTCTTCAATTGAAAACGTGGCCGATGTACGGAGGAGATCGCTAGAATAGGTTGTAGTAGTTCTCAATCGGTCTGATTCATCTTTGCTTTATCATCATGCTATAATCTTGGAAACTTGACACGTGTGTCCCTTAGTCTCGTCATTAACAAGTGTCGAAGTCTTACAGTGTTGGTCCCACAACTCGCGTACCTCTTTTTATACTACGTTCTCTCTACGAACTCTTGTAACACACACAAACAGAATATCAGGGAGAGATGAGCCAACAAGAGCAACCACGTAAGCCACAAGAGCCGGTGACATACGGAGACGTTTTCGAGGTCTCCGGGGAGCTATCCGATAAGGCCATAGCGCCTGAGGATGCAAACATGATGCAGGCAGCGGAGACGCGCGTCTTTGGACACACTCAAAAAGGTGGTACAGCCGCAGTCATGCAGTCTGCAGCCACTGCCAACAAACGTGGTGGCTTCGTCCAGCAAGGTGAAGCAACCGACCTCGCGGCTGAACAAGGCGTCACGGTGGCGCAAACTGACGTCCCTGGTGCACGTGTCACTACAGAATTCGTCGCTGGACAGGTCACATCTGATCATTTTCAAGACTATTATATTTTTGTTGCGTCTTTATGTAACGATAAAGATTGTTTATTGATAGGTCGTTGGACAATACGTGGAGCCTATGCCTGTGGCGACTACTACGGCTACAGACGCAGAAACGTTGGGATTGAATTTGCAAAGTGCTATAACAATAGGTGAAGCACTGGAGGCAGCTGTACAAACCGCTGGAAACAAACCAGTGGATCAGAGCGATGCAGCAGCGATTCAAGCGGCTGAGGTCAGAGCTTCTGGCACCAACGTTATTGCTCCTGGTGGAATAGCCGCTTCAGCTCAGTCTGCAGCTAATCACAACGCTACTGTGGACCGTGACGAGGATAAAATCAAGCTCGTTGATGTTTTAGCGGTTAAACCTCTACTTTCAAAACATTTTACAGTGTCTGAATTTTCTAAATAAACAGTGTGTAAATGAATTTGAGCTGGATTTGTAGGGTGCTACGGGGAAGCTACAGGCGGATAAAGCAGCAACGAGGCAGGATGCAGAGGGAGTGGTGAGCGCTGAGCTGAGGAACAACCCTAATCTGACTACTCATCCAGGTGGTGTGGCAGCTTCTGTCACCGCTGCTGCTAGGCTTAATGAGAAGGCGGATATATGAAAAATCCGGCGCTTTTTAATAAAGCTTCTCTCAAGGAACTTTTGATGTAAAAATCGTTTAGGTTCTGTTGTTCAAAAAGGTTCAAAGATAATGTTATGGAAACTTAAGCTACTTTATAACTCTCTCTCTCTTTAGAGGATGAAGATAGACGATAATGAGAAGGCGGATATATGAAAAAATCCCGGCGGTTGTTAATAAAGCTTCACCTAAGGAACTTGTGATGTAAAATCGTCTAGGTTTATTATGTTTTGGTTCTGTTGTTCAAAAAGGTTCAGATATAATGTTATGGAGACTTCCATAAGCTACTCTATAACTCTCTCTCTTTAGAGGATGAAGATTTGACCAAAAAAGAAAAAAAAAAAGAGAGGATGAAGATAGACGATAATGATTATCTATAAGCAAAAACTGATCTATAAATCGCAATTATCCAGTCTTACCAAGTTTTGCAACATACCAAAACATTCGAGCGTCCTCCAGAGACACTTAGCAAAACATCATCAAAGAAGATACAAAAGTAAAGGGAGAAACTTTTACTGACTGGAACTGGCAGCAGCAGAGCCAACAAGAACACCTTGAGCATTACCTTCCTTTTTGTTACCACCACCTTCTTCCTTGGAATCATCCTGCTTCCTCAGCCTGATCTGATACTTTGCTTCAAACTCGGCCATATCTTTCTTCTTCTTCTCCAACGTCTCGTAAAGCTTCCTCACAACCTCCTCGAGCCCTTCCTTGTTGCGTTGGACAGCTGGGAGCACCTCTCTGATGGTTCTCTCCACAAGAACGCCTCCTATCATGCGGAAGCACTTCCTTGACTGGTCGAGAGGCTGAATAGCGTTGATGACGAGAGAGTGTTCGCTGACTTGCATCTCGAGATCGGTAATGTTGGAATAGATTTGGCTTAGCTCTGATCTCATGGACTCGTACATGTTTAGAACAGCTTGCTCGTTCGGTGGTTCTCTCAAGTTACCTCCACCGCTTCCAGATTTGCTCGCCATAATTGCTTCTGTCCTATTATGTCAGATCAAGACCACATTACAAGCATGTTGTGTATGAAGTAATAATAATGCATCAGCATCGAACTATAACACACAAGAAGCCATCAGTCTCTCAAAAAGCATCTATTATGCAAACAGAAGCAATCCACATCCTAATCATACAATCTCTAAATTAGGGTTCGATGTCACCGATTCCATATCTAGGAGCTGTGTTTGGTTCTACTAGTCTAGGTTTAATTTTCTGGGTAACTTCGAAGAAGCTTTTGATCGGGACAGAAGGAGCTTGTTTCGACAACTAGGGAAATAGATACTGTTTTACTTTTGAGATCGATATCGGACACAAACCTTGTCGGCACTGGACAGAAATTAAAAAAATTAAAATGATAACAGGAAACTTACCTCTAGAAACGAAACCACAAGAGGAAGATCGTAGAAGCTTTGCTAAGGGAATGGAAGATCGAGAGAGAGAAGGCGGCGCATAGAGTGGTGAAGAAGATGAAGCAGCCGGGTTGGGTTTACTTCTTACAATTGAACCGGTTTAGACTTAATAAAATGTACCGGTTTTGTGATTGTATGATTGATTAACTAACCAGTTTTGAGATGCGGTCAAATATTAAAGATGTAGAATTTTTGTCTACAACAAATAGAAAAATTAAAGTTTTATCTTTTTTGTTCTATCTTCAAAAAATAAAGCTATGTTGTGATTGGCAAAATTTTTTTAAGTTTTGCCGTAGATTTTAATTTTGAAAACTAAAGCTACAACATGATTGGTAGGAGTTAGTGATCTAGAAGAAAATAAAGCTAAAATGCTAAGTTAAATCTCAACCAATCACCTCCATTATAATTTGAATTATTAAAGTTACCTCGTTTTTTTGTCATCCGAATTGATATTCGTTAAAACTTTTTACTGTGGATATGTACAAAATGTAAAACGGGACAATGACGTAAAAACAATTATTGAAACATCTTTTTTTTTTACTTAATTGAAACATCCTTACTCTTTTCGTCCTCTTGATTATATATTATCACTTTAATTATTTTTAGAAAGCAAAGCGACAAAACACAAAACACAAAACACAATTAGAATGAGACGAAATATGAATCGATCCGCAATGGACGTCTACAAATAAACCGCCGTTTTAATGTTTACACTTTACAGAAAAAGCAAGGAGAGAAAATTGAAAATGTTTTAAGGGAGAAATAAATTTCAAAAGTGACAATGAAATGAATCCATGCACGGAATTGCCATTACTCTATCTAGCGTTACAGTAACATGATTAATACATTGCACAATCTCGAATCTTTTTTATATGTTTTCGTTAAAATGTTTTAACTAAAATATGCAGTTAACTCTTACCCACTACACAAGTATTTTTTCCTATATGTAGTACATTTATAAAAACATATCCAGCTAATTGTTATGATGGTGGGCAGTGGCCATACAATGATCCTATGTACGTTAATAAACATCTATAATCGGCAACCTTAACATAAAAAATTAAATGGTGAAAACTTAATATTCAACTATATGAATTTTGATATAGTGATGCTAATGAGATATATCTTTTTGTCATCAATATATGAGACGAATTGATACCTTTCTCAGGCTCTCATCTTATATACAAAGCAAAGATCTGAAAATTAGTGTAGATGTTAGAGATGTCTTTATAATCACGGGAAATGATGCAGTCGGGAGTCAAGTAATGAAAACAGGAAAGAAAATTTGGTAGAGTCACTATGATTCAACGGATTAGGTGAAGTCAGCACACAAAAGTAGAGTAAAAATTATTAAACCCTTTTATACCTAACTTATCAATTAAACAGAGAAACAAAGTGAATAGGAGAAACAAGATTCATATATACTCTACTGACTAAAGCACCCCGAGGATACAATGCTTCTTCTTATCTGCTTTTTATTATTCATCCCAAATCATAAAATTTTAACACCAAAGAAGTTATTATTACCTAGCTAGGGACCACAACAATTGCTGTAATAGTATGAAAAACAGGACAACACTAACTCAATGTCATACATATACAAAAGGCACTAAGATACCATTGTTTGGTTCAACACTCGCATCTCTTTATTTCTCCATTTTAGCAGAGAAAACAAAGCAACCATAGGACTATGAATATGTACAGGTGTTAGTTTTAATTAGCTGGCTAAAGCCAAACGACAAGATAACATACAAAAGGGAAGGAAGAACAAAGATAAAAAAACATTAACAGGGACATCAAAACTCAAAAGCATCAAGCACTATATCACAATTAGACAGAAGCTCGTATAGTATATCAGGCCACATCCATTTTAGTCTATATGCAATGTGATCACTGAATCAAAGGATCACGGAAACGAAGAAACTTTATTCCATCATATAATTAAAAAAAAAACTACGAACTTTGCTTATGACTAAAACATACAGATTCAATAGGCAATAAATACCCTGAAATTAAAGTGTACCTTCTGGAAGAGACCTGTATAATTCACTTTGATCCTGCGATTTCTCTTAGGCTCTCAATTATGGTCTTCTTCTTCGTCTCCATATCGACTTTGTCCAAGTCTTTTACGGTCGCCAGATAACCATAAAGGACCCTCCTTTTCTCACCTGTCTTACCATCAACTTCCATAAGACTAGGGTTTTTCTCATCATCTTTGCTTGGAGTGAATGGTGGTAACCCGGCCCAACTTTTACGCCCACGGTTCGTCTTCTCAAAGTATTCTGCTATTCTCAAAGCTTCCTTGAGCCCTGAATCGTCTCCCGCAAACTTAAAGAGGGTAATTCCTAAATGACCGTCTCTTCCATACAGTGCTCTTGATTTCCCAACGTTGAATTCTAATTCTGTAAATACAGAGAGACATCAAAACCAGGGTAGCAAAAATGTACCATCCCTAAGGCCAATAACTAGATACTGTCATAACGGTTTGTGCACACCAATCATTATTCATTAGCCTATTCACATTGCACATTTGGAACCTAATATGAAACAACGGACGTTCCGGAGCTAGATGCTGACATTCCTATAAAAAATGCTAGACAAATTAGTAATGTCAATGTTTTGTTGAAGAAGCTTACATACTTCTTAGATCACAATTTACTAGATTCTGATATTAGAAGGTAGTGAAAGAAAGTACAGACAATAGATTGACATTATTCTTTGGCAGGTAATAAAAGTTTCCAGTTCAAAAGGGATCCAAGGAATGAGAATGAATGTTAGGTGACAATAAAATAATGTTAGATGCACGACTCCTACTTATAAACACCTCTTGAGGCATCCTCTTAGTGTTAGCAAAAAAAAAGGGAGGGATTTGGACCTTGAACTTTCTTCTGAAAGATCAAGGAAATGATTTTGGTGGCACAAATCTGATAACAGTCAGATGCCAAATCATTGAGACTACGAGACTCATCTCTAAGACTCTGGTTCTACGTAAAATGAAGGAAACAAAAAGCGAAGAGAAGCCTAAGGTGCAGACTAGCCAATGCAAGATTCATAAACGTTGCTGCATGTTGTACCTCTAATTCTGTCATCCATTCTTTTGCTTCCAAGACCTTCCATACGCCCATCTTTACCCTTCCCTGTACTCGTATTGTGAACAATAATGTGAGGTGGCCAGAGAATCAGCTCGTCTTGATTGATTGCTACCACTTCCGCAGGTAGATTCTGGTATGCCTTCGAATTATCAGGGGGCTTTGAGAAATTCCATCCCATCAATACACATAGAGCTTTGTGTAGGCCTAAGTGACGCACACGTGAGCTAATATCATCGCAATAGTAGGCGTGCATTACCAGACCATGTGTATCCTGGACGTCTTTGGGAGACCTGCGTTTAAGCATAAGTCGAATTGGAAACACTCATTCATTCACCGCACAATTCTGCATACAGTAGTCTGAGATTTCCAACTCAGGAAAATTGGAATCACCAGAACATTTGGATATAAACTTATATGATTAAATGTGTAAAAGCACCATCCACGCATCAGTTTATTAAAACAAACAAGAACTCAAATGTGTACTGAATAAGCCAATGATAAACCTAAGCTACAGAGTAGGGTTATGAGTGATGCAAGGAAAACACATAACATACATAAACACACACATAAACATCAATGAAATTATGTGAAGTACCATCATAACATAGCAGACGGGTTGACAAATATTAAAGATAACATGAAAGGATTTAGACAACTTCATAGTAAGCTTTTACAGCCAAAGAAGCTTATTCTGTGACACGAAAGAGCATTCACAATAGATGTGTTGCTATTATATTCTACCAATCTCTAGCATCTTTGACACTGATTGGAATGGCCATCTAAGCGACCATGCATTCATCATGACAAACTAGTTGACAACCTCCATCTAGTTATCAAGCTAGAACAAATTTAGATGTAAGTGTGTTAAAGTCACAAGAAATGTTGAGACTTAGAATATCTATATCACCTAAAGATTTAAGAATATGAAGTCACGTAACTTGACATGCCTGGATTCATGAATCACAAGCACAGCAGTGAGTGAGAGTAAAGAATGTATTTTATACATTCTTTACTCATAATAAAATGCTGCTTTAAGGGTCATTACCAAAAAGAACGGCATATTGATGTAAAATATAAATAAACCTGAGAAGAATAATCAGTAATGCGGGTGACAAATCCATAAAAAACCAATTAACATCGAATATCAGCACCCTAATTTTAAACAGCTGCAAGAAAACTACCATTATACTGGACCAAGTATAAATATAAGCCTGCAAAAAAAAAGGCAAGGACTAATAACTTGAGTCGATATATACCCAGAAACAATTAAGATTGTGGAACAAAAGTTAAAATTTTAAACAATTGAGTTACAAAAGAGCAGTTCAAAGAGCATTAGGTACAAATGAGATAACAACTCAAAGTAAAATAGCTCACTTGAATAATCTAAAAGGCAAATCAATAGAGAGTAAACCCAAGCAATCGTATATGAGTAATCAATAGAACCATGTGCAAGTTATCGCTGCATTATTAGAGCATACATAGCAAACAAGGAATAAGATAATATAGAAGCAAACAACGTTAAGCTAATCAGGAATACTACACATTTAGCTAAAATCACAACCACAAACCATGTCAAGATAAATGCAATATTATGAAAAAGTTACCATACTAATCAAACAGGAATAACAAAATAATTTAATACATTTTTTAGCGTTCTCTCTTACTTTCTTCATATTCGTTTATCCATCTACCACACAACTGACCAATTAAAGAAACGATCAAGAACAAGGCAATAAGAGTCTCCAGCAAAAGCAAACTACACCTAAGCAAGAAAAAACAAACACAAGGAACAGACTGAAACCCATCAAACCTGCCACAGACGAGACACTGAAGAAGCCGCCCTTTCCTCCCGTTCTCCAATAAGTTCTTCTTCTCCAAGGGATCCTCGTAAATCCGTTTAACAAAATCCAAAAACGCTTTCTTTAACGCAACCTGATCAACCTGACCTCCACCATTCTCATTCCTACTTGATCCAACACGCATATGCTTAGCTGCTCTACCATCTTCTCCACCATCCCTCCTAGTTGTACCAGCCATAAGTGACTGATCATTAGGACTCGAATAGTGCATAAACTGCTGTCTTTGTCTCATCATCTCCCCTCTCTCATCCCCCCTCCTATCAATCTCCTCTTCCCCTGGATGTTTCCGTTTCATCGGGCCTTCGGGACGATCCCAGAGATTCCGTTGATCTCTGAATTCCTCTGGATGAAACGGAGGGAATCTACCGAATTCCGATCCCATAAATCTATTAGCAGCCTGATCAGGGAGTCTGGGTTTGGGAGGGAAATCACGGTAATTAGGAGGAAGCGCGAAGTATGATCGAACACTTCCGTCGACGAGAGCGATGGTACGACGCTCGAGCATATGGAACCCGTAAGTCGGCGCAGGAGGAGCACCCAGCGCCGCCGACGGATCTGGGAAAGCGAATTGCGCCGCGGAACGCGATGATGAGGGTTGTTGATTGGGGTGATTATTAGGACGGGATTGGCTCGGCATCGGAGCTAGATTAGGGGAAGGATTGGGATGTTTCTTATCGGGGATTTTCTGGCCGCCCGTCGTCGTCTGCTTGTTGTTTGAGGTGTTATTCTTACTGCTTCCACCATCGTTGCTGTTTGAGCCCCAACGAGATTTGCGATGATGGGAAGAAGAAGAGGCGGCGGCGGCGGATGTGGGAGCGGAGGTTGTTGGAGGCTTTTGAGGCGTTGACTTGGCGTTATTGCCCCCGACCATCTTCAATTGCTGTGAAGACTTGGTTTTCGTGATGTTCGTGATCTTGATTGTACCTTCAGCAGATCCAATTTGATTTGATATGGCAAAAGAAGCGTGACGCGAGGATTTTAAATTAGGGTTGGGTTTTTTCTGTTAATTTCTTAGACGGTGATTGAAGCTGAGTTAGATGGAAACGTTAACGGTTAACGTCATTAACTGCCGACCAAGTCAGAGATAAATTTATGCTCGATTAAACATTTTGACAGTCATAACTCGTAAGTTTAAGTTGGACCAAATTGGAATGACATAAATCAATAAAATAGGAATAATTAATAATATTATATAAATATAAAATTTTACAAAACTATAAATTATTAATAAATACATGTATTATTTGTTAATAGTTTAAATTTATTAATGTAAACAGTTTCTAGTTGATTATTTGATAATAGTAGATCAGATGATTTTTCTTCTGAAATTTTTAGTGTTAATAGAATATCAATTCTATGAATTTTCTTGCGAGTTTTAAATTTATGTCGTATTATAAACATAAGATTTCTTTGTTGTATTAACTTAGGGTTGTACCTTCAGCAGTTTTAGCTGAGATTCGATCCAATATGGAAAGAGAATTGTGATGCGATGATTTTAAATTAGGGTTGTTTTTTTTTCCTGCTAATTTCTTAGAAGGTGATTGAAGCGGAGATAGATAGAAACGTTAACGGTTAACGTTATTATTTTTGTAATAAAAAAATTCAAAAACAAAAAACACATAAATAATATCTATAATATTATTTGAGTAGTCAGTTTCCTATGTGTCGCTCTCACGATGATTGATTACATCGATACTCTTAATGAATTAAAAATAGTTAAAATAGTATTATTAATTTTTTTATTTAATTTCCTTTTCAAAAATTTCTTAAAATATATGTAATAAAAAGGAAATTTTTATAAAGTCATTAAAAAATATTGAAAACGAAAAATATATGTATATATAATATGATTTCATAAAAAAAGAAAGTTCACAAAATAGTAATAATACATTTAAAAATATTTATAAAATAACATAAAATATACGTTTAGAGTAATAAAAATATTTTATAATTAGTATTATTGAATTTTTTATTTTTTCATATATTTAGTTGACTATAATATCTTTCAATTACAGAAAAATTATCTATAAATTATATTTTACTTATATAATATTATTTTCAAATACAATCACAATTTTATGTAGTGCTTATTTTTAAGAGATATTAAAAAAAAATTTAACAATAAACATCGCTTGATCAAATAATTTTATCATTATTAAAATAATTTTTTTCTTAAAATTCAATTTTATTTTAAATTTTAAATTTTTATGTTTGTGAAACTAAATATAACCATAATCAAAATACCAAAGAAAATATGAATTTTCCAATTTTAAGATTATTTAAAATAAATTTCAGTTTACATTCAATAAATCTAAAACATAAAGTTATTTAGAATTTATAAATATTTTAATTATTGTAAATATTGATATGTGTTCATGAGGTTCCAAAAATGTATCAACTACTTATGCATGTAGCCTTTTATTGATCAAAGGATAACACAAAACATATTAACAAATGAAAATAAATATTAACCAACTCTTACAATTTTAGTTCTTTTGTAAAATTTATATATATGCATGAGACTTTAGAATATTGTCGTTATATTAAATTACGTATTTTGGAATCAGACACTTTAATTAATTGTTAATTCATTATAAGCACAATATATCTTAAGTTATACATAATTTTACTAAAATATATTTACATATCTAAGACAACACCCACTATATGCAAATATGTAACTAATAAAAAATAATAAATTTTAAAATATTACAGTCGATATCAGAGATGCAATCCAATTTATCCAAATGATAACTAAATCAACCATAAAAACAACAAAATCGACTAGATATAACATATATAAAATTAAAGTATAATTAAAGTAATATAATATTATTAATATAAATGATACATACAAATTATAAATTAATTGAAAATTAAAACTAAATAGTAATCAATTATTATCATATATTTACTTTAAAAATATTTATACTCGTGCATGAGCACGGGAAAATCACCTAGTTATTCATAAAATAAAATTATTAATTGTATATAATTCAAAAGAGAAAATTAAATCTATCCTATTATTTGCAAAGTGATTTTTCGCAATGGAGCACTGACGTAAAAAGTTGGAGTGGTTAATATCGATTATATCCTTAATGAACAAAATATATAAATCAGCCAAAAATAAAAACGAATTTAATAATTATATAATAAGATAAATGATTTAAATTAATAATAATGATAATAATTATCCATAATCTAAATATATATTTAACAGGAAAAAGTTAATTCCTATATATACTGTGTTGTTTTACGGAAAAATATTTTTTTAATAAAAAATTCAAAAACAAAAAACACATAAATAATTATCCATAAACTAAAATTTTAATTGTATATAATTCAAAACAGAAAATTTAAAAAATAGAATACGTAATTATTTATTAAAAGAATATAATAATATAATATAATATAATGATATATATATATATATATATATATATATATATATATATATTTGTGAAGTTATTTTTCTCCTCTGAACTCACACGTTAAATTAAATTTATATTTATATTTTATATAGTTAAACCTTAAACATGAATTAATCATATAAAATTAAAGATCATTAAAAAAGAAAGAAAATACATGTTTGATAAAAATAAATTCAAATATATTGTATGATTTTTCGAAACGGAGTTCTCACGTTAAAAGTTGGAGTGGTTAATATCGATTATACCCTTAATGAATAAAATATATAAATCAACCAAAAATAAAAACAAATTTAATACTTATTTAATTAGATAAATTATTTTAATTAATAATAATGATAATAATTATCCATAATCTAAAGATATATTTAAAAGAAAAAGATAATTCCTATATATATTGGGTTGTTATCCGGAAAATATATTTTAATAAAAAAAATTCAAAAACAAAAAACACATAAATAATTATTCTTAAAATAAAATTTTTAATTGTATATAATTCAAAAGAGAAAATTAAATCTATACTTTTATTTGCGAAGTGATTTTTCGGAACGGAGCACTTACGTTAAAAGTTGGAGTGGCTAATATCGATTATATTCTTAATGAACAAAATATATAAATCAGCCAAAAATAAAAACAAATTTGATAATTATTTAATTAGATAAATGATTTAAATTAATATTAATGATAATAATTATCCATAATCTAAATATATATTTAAAACAAAAAGTTAATTCCTATATATACTATGTTGTTATCTAAAAAAATATTTTTTTAATAAAAAAATTCAAAACAAAAACACATAAATAATTATTCATAAAACAAAATTTTTAATTGTATATAATTCAAAAGAGAAAACTAAAAAAATATAATACATAATTATTTATTATATTAATATAATAATATAATATATATATATATATATATATATATATATATATTTGTGAAGTTATTTTTCTCCTCTGAACTCACACGTTAAATTAAATTTATATTTTATATAGTTAAACCTTAAACATGAATTAATCATATAAAAAAGATCATTAAAAAAGAAAGAAAATACATGTTTGATAAAAATAAATTCAAATATATTGTATTATTATCCAAACTAATGTTATTTTTTTGTAAGATCAATTTTTGAATGTAGATTTATTGATTCAATTTTTCAAATGGAAAGATAGATTTCTATATTTTTATCTATAAAGAAGAAATGAAATAGACTGTAGATTTTTCAAAGAATTAAAGGAAAAAAATAGTTTTTTTAATTTGTGAATAACTTTATAATATAGAAAAGTTTAATATTTTAGGTCAAATTTTTTTGATGCAAATAATCATTTACTTTGATGAACTTTTAAATTGATTTAAAGATAATTAAGTCCGCATGTGCTATTTTGAACTAAACAAATTGGATCCAAGCAGTCATTAATCTATCATGTTTATTACTTTATCGAATAACTAGATTTTGACCCGCGCTTTTAAAGCGCGGGTTTATTATATTTTTTGAAAAAAATTATTTGAATTATTAAATTTTATTTTAACACAAAAATTGTTCTACTAATATTAAAATGTTCTATTATCTTGTTTGATTTTCACGTATTGTGTGTTTTCATATCTGTTTAGGACCATAGTTGAACCGGTATATCCAACAATTTTTGTATAGTCCAGTAAGATTTAAAGAAATTTTATTAATTAAAATTTTGATAAAACTGGTAAATATGCAAAAACCCTCTATTAATCCGAAATATAATATTTGTAGATCTGCTAAAAGTCCCATAAAAACTGATAACATTTTTTTTTAAAATAGTAAATAACACATACTTTTAAAATTAAATAAAATTGATTTTTTTGTAATTTCTTAGAATTTAATGAATTTATTTTTATTTGAAAAATGAAACAATGGTAATAGAAGAAAAATATTTATATAACAATATCTGTTTTTCATTATTAATAACCTATGATTACTTTACATTTTTACTTATTAAATATCTAAAAGGTAATTTATTAAAAAAAATTGAATTGGTATATCCATATTATGACATAGTAAATAATAATATTTAATTTTGATCGCTAAATGATATTATGCATGAAAATAAGATATTAAAATTAAAAGAAAGTATAAATTGCATAAAAATAAATTATTATTAAACACAAAATTAGAAAATTATTAATTACCATAAATATAGGAGCGATTTAGTTATTTAGTTTAAATAAATAATAATTATATTAAAATTAAATGCTAGTGGCATATCTTTGTAAATAATTCAAAAACTATGGGCAGAATCCTAGGAGGGATTCTGCTTTAATAGTATAGACTAGACGTTGACCCGCGCTTTATAAGCGCGAGATTAACTTTCATTAACTATTTTATTAGAAATTAAATTTTTGTATTTTTTTTCATTTCTTTCCATATATTTTATGTAAATTTATTGTTAAATAATAAGTTTTTGCTAATACCAGATATTACTTTTGTTTTCTTTTTTATCCTCATCAGATTTAAATTTTTGAAATTTTTAAATAATTAGTTGTCTCATACCGTGTTAAGTTCTAAAATTTTATCTTAAAATTAATTTTTCACAAACATTTGGGATACATTTTCTGAAAATTAAATATAAATTAATAGACATGGTACTGGAAAGCTTATATTATTTTGGAAGATTCTTAAATTCTTGTTGTAATCAGATTTTATAAAATCTTTTCTTTTGAAGTTAATAATCTTAGAGGTAATGACACATATTGTTGCACAAGTTATTCTAAAGAATATATTAGTAGAAGTTATGGAAGTTCCTATATACTCTGAAATATTTCTTAAATCTATACAATTAAATCATGAATTATAATTGAAATTACTTTTAAAATTTGGTTAATATATTTTTTAAATTTATACTCTTTTACAAATTTTCTTTAAAATTTAGGCCAAAATATCATTAGTTGATTAAAACCAAGATATACATCACTAATAAATATACAAATGTTCTATAAATTCTATAATCCCAACAAAAAAAAACTTAGGGTTTAGAATCATGACTTCATGATTTAAGGATTAACAGATGAAACGTTTTGTGAATTAACATTTGACACATTTAGATATTAACAAAACCTATATATTTATTTACAATAGTATATGAAATTAATAGACATGAGTTTTAAATAATATTAATTGTTTAGAAGTTGTCATCACATATTAAAAATGTATATGCTAATCTTGACGTAATGGCACAAAGTAACTGTATATATATCAATAAACTATATAATTTTTATACATGATGAAGTAATGTGATGAAGTAATAACAATACAACTATTTGGGCTAAATGTTTGTAAATGATGCTAGTGTGATTGTTTAAAAAAATTCTGTTTCCTAATTTATAGGATGAATTTATTTAAATAAATATTTTAAAGAGACAATGGCATTCTTTGGTAAATAACTTAAAAACTATGGACACTGCTTTAATAGTATAGATTTATAGAACTTTTAATGTATTTGACTTTTCTAGCAAATTGTTAAAAAAAGTTTGCAGTAAGTTTCTAAGTTTGATGCATGGCATACAGCAGTTGTAAGAGATTTTTCAAAATGCAGAGATACAAAACACTCTTTCATCAACAAAAAAACTATAAAGATGAAGCCATCATCTTCTAGAGTGTGTGATCTTCACCCTATTCACTTTCTAACTCATGATGAACTCGATAATAAAGAGTGAATCTGGGAGCTTTTCTTCTGATTGCTCAGCTCTCAGGACCGTGACAAGACTCCTTTTGAACTGAAAATTCCCAAAAGCAAATCAAAACTCAAAAGCGTTTTCTAATCATATAAACAAAATTTTCACATTCCAAACAAAAACCGACAACAAAGATCTTCAGGATCCACAAAGGGTTTATGCATCGTGCATCCTCTATGATATTTATCCTATCTAAGTGTGTGTAATAGAATGTAGTGGAGGATAAGACAAACCTTGGTATGGTCCCACCACGGCGAGGATCATTCTCCGTTGCTTGTCGTAAAGCCCTGGCAAAGGCCTTAAAGGTCGCCTCTATTATATGGTGAGAGTTTTCACCAGCAAGCTGTTGTAACAAAACTTCTATTAAACACTGTCTTAAAAAGTTGCCAAGCAGCAGATTACAAAAGAAAGTATCATGAAATCGTTTGCCATTGAAATATTCAGAAACATAGTACCTGACGTATGTGAAGTGTCATACCGGAAGTATTCACCAAAGACTGGAAAAAGTGCTCCACCAACTACAAATAGAAAGGTTTACAAAAATTATTACTAAACATCAAATAAACCCTGAAAAGTAAAAAACTAAAAGAGAAGGATTAAAGAACCTGAGTGTCATAGTTTCCAACTCTCTGAGTTGGAATCTCCAAGTTGTAACCAAGATATGGTCTACCAGACAGGTCCTGCAAAGAGGTTTTAGTTTCATTAGAATCAGTAATGAGAGAATAAACACAACCGAAAAGTTAAGTAATTTTATTCTACCAAGGAAACATGTATAAGCGCTTCATCTAGAGGAGCTGTAAAGTCACCAAACCGATTAATTCCTTTACGCTCACCAAGTGCCTTTAACAGAGCCTAGACACACACAATAACAACAACAAATACTCTGAGATTTCATTACATCACAACCATTGCTAGCCGGTTCTAATGAGTAAGTGTCCGTAACTTACAGTACCAATGGCAAGAGCTATATCTTCATTGGTGTGATGATCATCAATGTGAACATCACCAGTAGCTCTTACGTGAACATCAAACAAGCCATGTGAAGCAAGTTGCTAACCAAAGGAAGTGAAAAAGACAAACATAATGAGTCAAACATGATATTTTTTAATAAAACTGTCGGGCTAATCTCTGTTCTAAGGGGAGATTCAGATAATTACATAACTCAATAAATCCAAGCAAGAAAACACATACATCTAACATATGGTCAAGGAAAGGGATTCCAGTAGAGCTATCTGCAACTCCAGTGCCATCCAAATTGATCTTCACTGATACATTCGTCTCCTTTGTTACTCTCTTCACTTCTCCAATTCGAGCTGATACCATCACCCAAACAAAACAAAACAAAACAAAAACTTGACCATCAAGCGAAGAATTAATGTAGAAATAAGCTCCCATCTCCTGCTAGTCTCAAAGCTGACCTGATTCGACTAGGGAAGAAGAAAGAGTTGCCTGGGAAATGTTATTATTGCTTGGTGAAGAAGCGCAGGAGATAGATTGGTGAGGCTGAGGCTGAGACTGAGACTGAGACTGAGATTCCATCCGCAAAAATCGGGGAAGCGAAGAAGAAGAAGAAGCGATCGATGCTTTCCGAGGAAGAGAGAGCGTAAACCCGAAGTTAGGTCTCACAAGCTGAGCCGAGGATTGACTAAACATGGCGGAAGCAGCAGACGACAGCTCCATTTGTTGGCAGCGGAAGTAACAAGAGAGAGCAAGACAACCACTCTGTATGCCAAACGACGACGCTTCAGCTACACAAAGAGCCATTTAAGAAGATTCGCAGAGTATATACTAATGAACCAAACCGGTACATTATGCGAGTCTCATTATAAATCTATCTAATCATTGTTCTCAACATTTTCAGTTAAGTAGGTGGTGTCATATGATATCCTATAGATGTCTTGAAATGACTTAGATATATATATATATACTAGGGGCCTGGCCCCGCGCAAGCGCGGGGATATTGACTATAGTTAGTGTATATGATTTTCAATTGTATTGGCTTGGGCAGAGATGTTGACAATAGTTAGTGTATATGATTTTCATTTGTATTGTTCATATACATTCATGAGAGAAAAAAAAAATACCAGGAGTTGAAAAAGAAGTGGAGGTGTGTGAGTGTATTCCTTAGTAGGACTGTGTGTTCTTCTTGCCTACTATTTCATTCTCATTTGATTTATTTTCAGTTGAAGACAACATCAAGACCGATGAACCTAAGAAAGAAGAGGCTAAGTCAAAAAAAGCCACTGAAGTAGTCAACATGTAATAAGGAGTATGAACTGTTCTTGTTTGGGTCAAAAGATCATGTTTTGTTTATTTGTTTTCTGAACTGATCAAAGGCTTTGGAAGTTGAATAAGACATTTCTATTAAGGCATAGCTTAGTTTCATCAGAAGGAAGATGAGATCAGAGACAATTGAATTCAGTCGTATATTTTTTTTTTTCAAATTACATTTTTCTTTATTTCTTTTGATGTCAATCTCATGATATCAAATATTTTATTTATGTTATTTGATTTGATCAGATATAATTTACATTTACAATAGACAGACCAATCAGCTGCATTATTAAATTTTTCCATCCAAACAAAAAACACAACCGATCTAAATGACATCATGAAAAGAGAACAAAAAGCTTGTTTCTATTAAACTCTTTGACAAAGTAAAAGATCAGTAGTGCTCCGATGGTACTACATTAATTCTTTCTATTAAACTCTTTGACAGAGTAAAAAGATCAGAGTAGTACTCCGATGGTACTATATTAATACTGAAGAATATAGAGTTGTCATAAGAGCAGGGGACAAACCTAACCAACCATATATAAAAAAAGGCGTGGAAAGGAAGCAAAGACCACGTCTTCTTCTGTCACTTTTCTTCCTTATCAAAGAAACTCTGAGGCAAGGTAAAGTCTTCCTCGTGGTTAAGAATGTCAATGTCCACATCATCTGATTTCTGTTAAAAACCCAGAGGCAACAGATTAAAGCATCAGAGATTCACAGCATAATTCTAATTGCAGCCAGCTTAGAAAGCTATGTAGCATCACAATAGTCAAATCTTGGCTGTAAGAATTACTCACCAGCATTGATGATAGAAACAACTTCTTTTAAGGTCATAACAAATCAATAGGAACTCAGGGAAAGAAGCAAGCATGGGTAAACCTTCTGCCTAGATACTCAATCAGACCATAAAGAACAAAGTGGTGATGTAAGCCTGCACACCTCATTACAACATAAAATCCCATTAATAGAAAGCAAGAAGCCCAGAGAACTGAACTGATCAGTGACATTAATTGAACTACAAAGAAACATGATCTTTTTTTTGGGTAAAGGTTTATGCTTTCTAATCAAAAGTCATTTGCGGAGACAGGACAAGGAAAAGATATGATTTTTTTTGTGAGAGAAGAGAACTTACCTCAGAGTTTTAATGGGATGATAGATTTAAATAGGCCTTCATAGCTTATTTTGAACTGAGATGATCTCAACACTTTTCTAGCGTTTTGAATAGGCCTTGATAATATATCCTGCATAATCCAAATATTATTTTCCAAACCAAGAGAAAAATGATCGTAAAGAGGGAGAAAGTACCAAAGAAAAAAAAAAAACTTAAAAAGGCATGGCCCAATTTGATGTACTTTTCTAAAGATTTGCAGCCTCTGATTGAAAAAAAAAACAGACTGAGGCTTTTGAACAAAGAGCTACTTCGGATCATATAAACAAACCCCTAAAATATCGTCTGGAGCTTCCACCACCGTAAACAAACGGAAAAATGCCAACGCCACCGGTGGAGAAGAAATCCAGAGTGAATCTGTGCTCCGTGGTGAAGTAGAGCACGGTGATGTGGTTGTCCTTACCTTGGACTTGGAGATGAGCGGCGAAGATAAAGCTCGTGAGAGACTTAGCCGATTATTAGCTGATTATTTTTGTTCAGATTCCTAGCTTCCCAGAAACGCAGGAGCCAAACGTCGTTTATCGCTGGGGAAGGGAAAGCGTAGAGGTCGAAGAAGAAAGAAGAAAAAAAAAAAAAAAACAAAGGGCCAGATAAGGGAATGCTAAGCCCACACGAATTTGGAATGAGGCCCAACTACAGAATGTGTTTGTGCGTCCGACGTGGCCTTTCTGACGTGTCAGTCGACGTGTCATACCTAAGGAGAGAGCCAGCTTTTCTTTATATAATAGATACTAGTGGTTACCGGCGCTACGCGCCGGATTTTCTAACTTTAAAATGGTTTTGCGGTTCATAAACATTTTTATCAGAATATTATTCTATAGTATCTAAGATAACTGAAATATTAATCAATGATATGAACATAATTGTTAATTAAATATAAAAAGAGTAACATCTATATTAAAATTAAACAATACTCTTTCCTAGATAGTTAATAAGTCATCATGTGTATAATTATCTTTGTATCATCGCTAAATATTTAGTTATCTTCATATCTTTGATTAGGTCTCGACATTTTTAACCTAATCCGAAGCCCCAGCCTCAACACGAACCGAAAACCCCGAAATTACATCCAACCGTTACATCAAAAAAAATCGAACAAACCTTGATAGACAATTTCAAATTTTATATTTTTGTTTTGAAATATAGATACACATAGAAACTTGATAGTTCCATTTTATTTAATTCTTAGCTATTTAAAAGCATAGAACAAACCATAGACATTCGTGTAATCTATTGTGAAGAAAAGTAAACTAAATATAATAATGTTCTTATAAACTAATACTTTTTTGACCTTTGGTTTGCTTTTTTTTTTTGCTAATTAAACTTTAGTTCGTTAATCTTAACTTAACAAATCTTATAGTAAATTTTTAATAACATCTATGTATTACATCATCCATTGAACATTTGTTAGAGACGTTTATGATAAAATCGTTGTTATTGATTGTATTTCCATGTATATGACTTAGAAACTATATGAAATAAAAGTTTAGATTATAAAACTTAATTTAAATATCTAAAGATATGAGAGTTGTCATCCATCCTGAAGAATATGTTGAAAATGAGAAAGTTATTTTTGTTTAATTTATTTGACTAAAAATATTTATTTAAAATCACATCATTTGCAAAAATCAAGAAAAATTCAATTAAAATAAAAGATTTTTATAATTGGACTAAAACACTTTCGACAAATGATAGAATGATAAATGTCATTTTTTGTCATTGTAGAGAGGAAAAACTTTAATTTATTATATAAGAGATGTGTAAATATTTATTTTAGCAAAAAATTGAAATATTTTATAATTAATAAATCATATATCGCCATTACAATATAAATGTGTATATAACATTAATAAAAATAAACTAAATATAAGTACATTAAAAACAAATTCACATTAACTTATATATCATATATGTTCATAAATAAATATATATATTAAAATTATTTGTAAATTTTTTTTTAAAATAGAAAACTAAAACAATACTAATGAAGTAAAAGCTTTATTTTTAATTAATGTTTAAATTTTCTTTAGCATTTATTGGTTCATTAAATAAACTAAAATATGTTAAATATATAAAAAAATCATTAAATGAAAATGACACATGACATTTTTCGCCTCTATGGAGAAAAAAAGTCTATTTTACTATATAAGAATGTATATATAACATTAATAAAGAATAAACTAAATATAAGTACATTGAAAACAAATTCACATTAACTTGATACCATATATTCATAAATAACTATATATATATTAAAATTATTTATAGATTTTCTTCAAAATAGAAAACTAAAACAATACAAATGAAAGAAACAATTTTATTTTTAATTAATGTTTTAAATTTTCATTAGCATTTATTGGTTCATTAAATAACCAAAATATGTTAAATTTAAAATCATTAAATTAAAGTGACACATGGCATTTTTCCCCCTAAGGAGAGAAAAAAACTCAACTTTATTAGTAAAGATATATATCCTGGTGATAGCAGAAGTAATCATAACTCATGGCACTATGGCAGTGAAGTTTTGATAGAGGCAAGAAATATATATAGAGAAGTCTAATATTTTTGAACAATAATTAATGATTTACTCCTATAGAGTATATTTTAACTCAAGTAAATAACGTCTGTAATAAACTGTTTAGAGCTACTCTGCGAATAATATCACAGTTAGACTTTAACCACTCCAGAGTAATCGGTTCAAGGCCAAATATCAGAGTAATGATCTCATATCTCTAATGCTGGATTGCATTCAGTCTGCATAAACTTTTGAAGAGAGACTTTTGATCCGACTCTGATTCAGTTCAGATAAAAGGTTGAAAGTTTTACAAGCGAAGCTATACCTTTTTAGTAAAATAATGAATATAAAGTAGTGTGAATCCATTTGATTAGATGATGTTCTCATAAAACTACAGTTTACAAATCTCATATGTCGACGGCATCGACAGGAAGCGAGATCGCCCTGTAAAGAAGAGTCGGTGAAGCTGCCTCCGTCTGTTTCTCACAACAGATCCTCTGATGATCACTAACTCTCGCTAGCTGTATCTTATGTCTCGCCTTAAGCCATCTCAACTCTCTCCTTATCTCATTCTCCGACCACCACTCACCTCTCACCTTCCTAACCGACCTCTGTTCTTCTTCTCCATCATCTGAACGTGATTCTCTCAACCCCCAAATATCCGCGTAATGAATCCCGTTATTATTATTATTACCTTCTCCAGACACAACAACACCATCTCCATGCTCTTCTTGTCCTTCCACTTGGTAACTTATCTCCTCGAACCTACCGTGTACCGAAGAACAGCTTCTCTCATCAAACTGATGATTATGATGTTGGTGAGGTTTCTCTCCCGAGACTTCGCTGTTTGATGACACTGTCTCTTGTATATACCCATTCGTAGCACAGTTTCCACAGAATCCTACATTTGCTTCACTTTCCGTAACGTTGTGTTCACCATCAATCTTCCAGTTAGGGACCAATGCAGCAATCTCTGCATCGATCATCTCCGCGATTTTAGCAACGTCTTGATTCGTTATGTCGAGTTCAGACACCATCTCTGCTGCTACACTCCACGCTGTGTCTATAGCTGTCTCAAACGGGAAGTATATGTTTCTTATACGTCCTGTAACACATAAAAGCTTTTCACGTTCTATGATCTTTATAAGCATCGAAAAGATTGAAACATTGTGTGTAATCTAATATATATACCTTCTGCATCAGAGATTCTAAGTCTCAAGAAGATCCCATCATTACCGTTTCTCTTCCCTTTTATCGAAATATCGACATGGTCAGAGTCTTCCTCATCGTCTTGAGCGAAAAGATTGATCTCACATATCTGTGGCTCAATCTGATCTATCAGAGGTTGTCTAAGGAACACTCCAGTTTCATCATAACCATTGTAATAATCAATGGGTCTCATATCATCATCATCATCTTGTAAGAAAGGGTCTTGTAGAAGCTCCAATGCAGTTAGCCTAGACGACACGGTGGCTAGACACTTCTCAACGAACTCACGAACCTCAGGGTCCTTCACTAAGTAGAAAGCTTCAGGCTTCTTCCCCTGAAGTAATGAATAACGTTAAACCAAGACATCACAATAACATAAAAAAAAAAAAAAGTTAATGTTCAAGATCATATTTTTACCGAAGTAACTTTCTTGTAGATTTGCGCAGGGTGAGTGCATTCACTGTAAGGATAATCGAAAGTGACCATCTCTAATACACACATTCCAAAAGCATATACATCAACCAGCTCATTGTACTCTTCATCATACACTTCTGGTGCCATGAACTCAGGGGTTCCTTTAAAACATAGGTAGGTCCAGTTATGTTTCACAGACATTATTATTAAAAGCCAATAAAAAGTGAAGTTTTGAAAAGTACCAACGCAGCGAACAGCATGTGATTTACGAAGAATAGCTGCGAGTCCAAGGTCACCGATCTTGACTTCTCCTTGGTTTCCATTGATGAAAATGTTATCACATTTGAGATCTCTATGGATGATTGGAGGAGAACGGCTATGAAGATAGAGAAGCCCTTTTAAAATCTGCTTACACCATTGCTTCACCGCTTTAATGTTCACTCTTCTATGTCTCAACCTATACCTACAAAAACAACAAAGACTTTTAACTTTCAAGTACCCTTTTCAGATTTTTGGATAAAAGAGCTAACAAAGAGACAAAGTTGCTTACTGTCTGAGAGTACCGGAGGTGAAGAGTTCAGTGACAAAGTTGATTGATAAATTGTCAGTATCAACCCAAGAAGTGTAGAATCTCATGATGTTCTGATGGTTCAAGGTCTTGAGAAGATGAATCTCTCTGAAGAATTTTTCTAACTCCTCAGGATTCCTTGTGAAATTCCGAAGCTTGACTTGGTTCCATGCCACTTCTATCCCTTCGTACTCATCAAAGGCTCTGTATCTGAAAAGAAAATCAATAGTGTTTTTAGATTTTTTAAGCATTAAATAATAATTAATTAATTAAACAATAAATAAAATTGTGACGTTACGAGAGAACGTTCCCGACCAAACAAAAACAAAGGTCGTTTGAAAGAAAGACAAAGAGAGAAGGTGAATGCGAGATTACACTGTCTTCGAAGCCCCTTTGCCAAGTACTTCCTCGTACTGTCCATCACCAAAAAAAAAATTAAAAAAATCAAATCGTTAATAACGAAGAATGAACGTTTAGATTCAGAAGAATCATTACTCTTCCATATCTTCCAGAAGGGTCAACTTCAACGAACTCAGAGCAGTCTTCAACGAAGCTTTCTTCACCATTCATGTTTTTCTTGAGCGAGAGATGTTGGAGTCTGTGGAGATGATATAAAGAAGAATAAAAGATTTTAAGTTTTTTTTTTTTAAGAAGAGAGAATATAAGGGGGAAACAAGTGGTTTTTTTTTCTTCTTTAGATGCCCACCTAGACCTAGTAGTGAACACAGCCAAGAGACAGCAAGTTAGGCTTCTCACCCAATCACCTTTTTCCCAATACCACGCGTCGGTTTACGTTCTACAAAACCGGTCTTGTTCGGTTTTTGTTTCAGTTTAACCAACCAAACAAGTACCAAATCGTACTATCATAGAATTATATGAAAACACCATTCAGCTAATATTTGTACGAACTAACCAAAAGATCGTTAATTCAATCCGAATATTCAGCAAATTTTGAATCTTCGGTCAGCTAATTTGAAAAAGAACAAATAAAATTAAGTCTTGTTTGGTTGACAAATGGGTAAGTAAGATTATTCAACTTGAGAGGTGTGAACAAAAGAATCTAACACAGAGGATTTAAGACCACATATATAATAATTAGCTTTGCGTTCCATTAAAGCGTTGATTGGTTTGGTAAGCTAAATTCCAAGGACCGGTACGCTATGTCAATAACCGGAAAGAAATTGCCAAAAACTAAAGGCGTCGTTGGTTTAACGACACTTGTGTGCTAATGGGTTTTGTCGTGTAGTTGAGCAGTTAATGTCACGGGGAAAGAGAAGCACATGGGAGTGAGTCACGGCAAACACATAGAAGTGTCTCCTTTTCTTTGTGATGGTGTTTAAGACAGTTAGACACATTTGGGCCAATGATAACCCATACTTTTTGTATTAATTACTTATCTTTTAAAACTTTTTCACATTCACGTAACGTTTATCTAATATTTTACGTGAATATTCATCCTTTTCTACGTGACAAGGTTATACAAGACGAAAAATATAAACGAATACCAACAATAGTAATAAAAATGGTGAAGGTTGGGCATTGTTTTTTCATCTGTATCTGCCCAGTGAATTTATTTAATAAAAATGTTAGACAGAGAAAAATAACAAACAATAATAAAAATGCATCTACAAAGTTATAAGAGTCCGTCAGTTCAGAAAAAAAAAGTTTTAAGAATCCGTAAACGAATTGACAAAGAAAAACAAGCTGTGCACATATTAAAGTTTGTAATGATTATTTCTATGAAACAGTATGAACTGAAAAGCTTATCGAGTACAAGAATTATTAGTTGTTTTTGTTCAAAAAATTATTAGTTGTAGCTTATCGATTGCTCTAACTTTAAAGATGTTGCCGTCTGTATATTAATTGCTTAATTGTCTTTTAAAATTAAGTTAATACCAAAGTAATCAAGAATAGGTACGGCTACATGTCTAGCTAAGAAATACATGTACGCCCAATTCTGAGTGTTTTAAAACAGACTATGGATGCCTTCATAGCACACGACCTGGTCAGTGGTCACGGTAGGTGCAAATTTTATTCTTCAAGTCTAGCTAAAAGACTGAGAGATCAGCTCCATCCGGTTGGATTTTGTTCTTATCTTTGTAGAACTCCTCGTCATCCCCTTCATTGCTTTAGATCTACTAGGCGTCGTATCACTAAACCTACTCGTCATCCTCCCGTACGTAGGCCTGGGCATTTTACCTATAACCCGAACCCGACCCGAAAAAACCGTATCGGATCAGTTTTGAGATATTGAGAATACCAGTTCGGTTTTGATCATTCGATATATTGGACTCTGGGTTAGGTTCGGTTTAAACCGGTAACCGAAATAAAACCCGAAATAAACCGAACTTAATTAAAGATTAGACTAATTAGGACCGGTGCACGCGTGTTATAGTTCCAAAGCTTAATCAAAGCTTATTGCACGAGCATAAACTCGTGAGGCGGCGAAGAGAAGCGAAGAGCTTCTGTCTCTTTCCCAGTGATATTGAAACCCGAACCGGCCAACCCTAATCAGCTATAAATCGAAGATCCTTTGCCTCTTTCATGTTTCAAACCCACAGTCTCGAGTTAACTCTTTCTCCTCCATCTGCGATTTCGAGAAATCGTTCCCAGGTTAGTAAAGCCACTTCTTAGTATTTATGGTTTATATAGATGAAATATGTATGTGATTGCTTATGATCGGGTTCTTAAGATATGATTTAGGGTCGGATAATATATCTGTCTAATGTGATGATTTGATGAAGCGAGTTTGATTATCTTTGTATCTCCTGTCTTTTGTAATCTATGTATGTTGTTGTTACTCTTTGTGATGTGTTAAGCTAGTTAAGTTCTGACTTATAAAGGTTGTTTCTGACTTGTTAAACTTTGAATTTATTTCAGATGGATTCATCTTCAACACCAAATGTTGTCTCTGACAATAACAACATGGAAGGTGAAGAAGAACAAGACATTCGGACTCCAGACAGTAGGGGCAAGCGTAAAGAATCACCTGAAGCTAGTGGAGCAACGTTCCAGCCACAAAAAGCACCTAGATATCTTCCTACGAGGTCTAAGATATGGGGACATTTCACAAGAAGAACTGATAACCGTGAGAAGTGTATATGTCACTACTGCAACAAGGAGTTTTGTTGTGCTACAAAGTCAGGCACATCTAACTTACTGAAACATCTCACCGTATGCAAAAACTTCAAGGCGTATGAAGAGGGTCAAAGCTCTACTCAGCCACGGCTTGATGAAGCAGGAAAGCTTAAGTCTGCAAAGATTAATGAAAAAACATTCAGAGAAGCAACAAATGAAATGATGGTGATAGCAGAGTTACCACTATGCTTCATTGAAAGTGATGGATGGAAACATTTCTGTAACAAGGTGAGCTATCTTAAATCTTAATTATTGTTTAATTGTTTTGTTAATATATGTATCTGACTTTGATATTATGACTGTATATGGAGCTAGGAAAACCAGTATCAAGAAGGACATCAACAAGAGATATTGTCGAGATGTATCTCCAGAGGAAAGCTGCTATGAAGAAGTGGTTTAAAGCGACTAAGCAAAGAGTTTCTATAACAACAGATATTTGGACTGCTCAAGTAACACGTGAGGACTTCTTCCTTACCTTATTCTCTTTACTCTTTAGTTTATTGATCCTTATAAGTTTTAAGTTAAAACTTTTAACATTATTACTTGCTTATCTATTTTTGTTTTTGATCTCAGGTGCTAGTTATATGGTTGTGACTGCCCACTACATTGATGCATGTTGGAGACTAAAGAAGCTTATCATCGGGTTCAAGCACGTTATTGATCACAAAGGTAAAACCATTGCAAGGGTTTTGTTGGATTGCTTAGCTGACTAGGGTATCCAGAAGGTGTTCTGTGTGACTGTGGATAATGCAACGGCTAATATATCAGCATTGCGTAGATTTCATAGTGAGTTCTCTTTAGTATCTGAGGAAGCTTTGGTTTTAGATGGGGAAATGATGCACTTGAGATGTAGTGCGCATATCATTAACCTAATTGTGAAGGATGGAATGGCAGATGCTGATGATAGTGTTATTGCAATCCGTAATTCTGTGGTTTATGTTAGAGCCTCGGGAAATAGGATATCTTCATTTGAGCAGAAAGTAGAGGCTGGTAGATTGACTAGGGGAAGCTTGCCCTTGTATGTGACTACCAGGTGGAACTCGACTTATCTCATGCTGATCACTGCCATGAAGTTCAAGGTTGCTTTTGAGAAGATGGAGCAAGAGGATAAGCTGTATAACGACCACTTTTTGGAGATGGAAAAGGGTGTAAAAAGAGTTGGTCCGCCTCAGTTGACTGATTGGAAAGTAGTAGAAAGGTTAAGCTGGTTCTTGGTCATCTTCTACAACTCGACCTTAGTTGTATCTGCCTCAACCTCTCTCAACGCTTACAAGTGCTACGGGGAAATAGTAACCATAGCCACTAACCTTATTGATCTGATGAAGAGCAGAGATGATGAACTGAAGGAGAAGGCAGAGGAGATGTACAAGAAATTTGACAAGTACTGGGATGAGATCAAGAACATCAATAAGATGTTGATTGTTGCCACAGTTTTTGATCCCATGAAGAAGATGGAACTCGCAGACATGTGCTTTGAAGAACTCTACGGTCCTGACAGCTTGGTAGGCAAGGAAATGCATGACTCTGTGATATCCATTCTGCGTACAATTTTAAGGAGTACAAAGAGAGATATGGGAAGAGCCAAGAAGAGAATGGTGATCAGTCTAAAACGTCCAAGACTCAAGCCTCTCAGCGTACTCAACAAGATTCATTGGCTAGTACGGATTTTGTTGATGGTGGTTTAGGTTATAAGAGGATTGACCGGAGGTATAAGCAGAAGTTGAATGAGATAGGAGTGAGAGACAAGAGAGATGAGCTGGATATTTATCTAAAAGAAGATGTTGAGAATTCAGAGTTGATGAATGGTATGGAGTATGATGTTCTGTCCTTTTGGAAGAGAAACGAGACCAAGTTCCCAGTTCTTTCACTGATGGCAAAAGATGTCCTCGCAATTCAAGTGTCGTCTGTTGCATCCGAGAGTGCTTTCAGCACATGAGGAAGGATCATTGAGCCATCCCAGAGATGCCTTACACACTTCATGATCGAGGTGTTGATGTGTACAGATCAGTGGCTAAAACAAGACATTCGCTGTGATTCAAGAGTGCTTACTAATGCACAAATCCTTGAGGACATTGAAGAACTTGAAAAGATTGAAAGAGGTATGTTTCTTCTCTTTTTTGTTTCTTAGATTTTATTATAAAATTTTACTTACTTGTTTGTCTTTGCACCAGAATATTCTGCTTCTGCTTGAATAGGTCTGTCTATGCTTAGTTATGATCTTGCCTTCTTGGTTATAAGGTAAACCTCTTGTCTTTGCTTTACCAACTTTGGTTATGACTTCATTTTACAGCTTTGTTGTTGCCATTTCATTTTGGCAGGATAAAAGATTCTCAAATGCTCACTAGGTCGACCAAGTGGGAACATCAAATGTTTGTGTTTCTGTTGTGTTTTATTTTGTTAAGTTGTGTTTTTACTTTGAACGATGGATGTTGTTTTTTCAAGTTGTGTTTGAAACGATGGATGTTGTTTTCGGCAATGAGTGTTTGTTTTTCCATATTTGATGTATGTCCTCTATTTTCATTTCAATTTGAGGATTATGTTTCATAGATTTGC